GGATTTGCTGCAATCAGCAGACCCACTCTTCACATATGTCTATCATTAGAACCTGAAAGAGCCCTTCTCCTCCCTCAGAAGTGTCTTAAAGTGTGCTTGTGTGCATGCATAAAGAAGTGTGAGTGTGTGTGTGTGTGTGTGTGTGAGCAACCATCAGCCCCGTGTGTATCTTGTGTTTCACTTTACTGTGCTAAAGTGGCATGTATGAGTTTCCTTTGTGTACATGTCCGTGCCACGTATGTATGCACTACTATAACATATCTCTGTACAGTCCCTCATGGCCAAATGTATATACTGAATGTAATGTATGGGGACAAGAGGCATCAAGGTTCAAAATAAATAAAAATGGGGTTTATGAGTTAATGTGTGATATAATGTCTGAGCTCTATTATTTTCAAACACATCATTACTAGTAAGAGAAAAAGCAGTTTCCTGTATCTTCACCATCACCAGTAACCATGGTGAAGCCCTTTGACACATAATGGAGAGCGACCATTGTTTGCACCAAGGACAGAGAGCTAGAGCTATTATCTAGCCAGTACTCCAGCACTTGTTGTCCTTTATTGATCCACTTTGTAGCGTCCCATTTTTTTTTTGTTCACTCCGTTGTTCATCCCAGAAGCATTTGCTCGATGTGTTTCCGTCTGAAGCGCGCTGCAGTAGTCCATATTTCCTGCAGTAAAAGTAGGCTCCCTGCTGCGTCCAGGAATCTCTTCTCTGCCCTTTTGTCCAATAAAGAACACTTTTATAGCAGCATTTTATGAATGCAGGCTATTTTTTTCCACACTGTAAATGCAATGAAGTGCAAAGCGTATATTATTCTTGGCTTTTGCAGAACGTATTTGCCTGAAGTAACAGATTGAGAGGATATCTCAACCCAGAGGAGACAGAAAAGTAGTGTTGATTTGTAATAGTAACACTTTATTTTATAGGTCTCTCAAATATTTCTCTACAAGAAATGTACTGGAATAACCCTGGGCTTGGATATTGATTATAGGAGAAATCAAACCAAATTATTCAAAATAACTTATTGTAAAAACTGAATACTTTTTCTTTTTTTATTATTGTGTGCTTGGCTGAAAACACATTTGGGCCATCTAGGTTATGTAATCAATATTCTTTTAATGCAAAATTGAAATACCAGCTAAATAAAAGTCATGGATGCTTTGCAACATCAACAACAATAATTTAGTTGGTGGTTTAAATGTATCTTTTAGTTTTTTTGTTTCAAAACCATACGATGTGTTTTAAGTACCTGATTATTTTTCGGTATCTGGCCATACTTTTCAGTCAGACACATCACTACAAAGAACAAGCGATCACACACTGGATGTTAGTACATGTAAAGTAACCTGCTTGCATTCAGGTCTATTGAAGGCAATTTTAACAGTAAAATCCTTAATATTGTGCCTTATCTTAGAGCTGTTGCATTGTAACAGCAGAGGGAGTTTTTACACACCACTTTCTGGTCATAAAACATCTGGCAGGCTCTCAGGAAGTGCACAGGGGGTTGATGTTAGGAAACATTGACCATTCACTGCCTCTCAAGTAGTTTAATAGCAAGGCAATGAGAACTTTGTCTATGTGGATGTGATGACAGTCTGCTGCTACATTTGTCTGTGTGCAATAGTACACTTTTTATGACGTAAAAGTGAGTACAAATGAAACATAATTGCTCAATTTCTTACGTTTTTCTTTAGACTCTTCTCTTGAAATGGCAGTGTACATCTTTCAAGAAATGACTGTCTACACACATGCTCATGCACTGAATGTCCTGTCTTTCTAATAGCTTCCTCTTGTTTACCTTCAGTAAGTCAGTCCAGTCCACATCTCCTGACGAAGTGAAGTTGCTATTTTAAGTTTCTCCCACCGGTTTGTTCATGATCTTTACCTCTGTTCTCCTCCAGAGAAGCTCCTTCAAGGGTTAAAGCACCTGGGATTAAATGCATCAAAGACCCTTTTATGGAGAAAAAAAGTGCTGAAAAAAAGGAAGAATAAAAGCAAGGCTTGAAAGCAATGAATGGCCCACTCGGGGATAGAAAGGCCTCGTGTCCATCCGAGGCGTATTTCATATTCCGCTCAGTCACACCAGTCAGAAAGCAATCTCAGGTAACAGACCTTATGTTAATACCACATGAGTTGCGTCCTTTCAGAAAGACAAAAGCTCACTGAGGGCATTATGCCAACTCTCTCCTCCCCTGCTCCACTGGCACGCCGGAGGATTTCATCTGGAGAGAAGAGTGTTGTCATTGTTCTGCTTGTCTGTGAAGGCTTGATTAGAGGAGCTTTTACACCATTTCTAAAGGCCTGGCTTTGATGCTTTCTATTGGCTTAACATATTGCCCATAATGAGCTGGTGCAGCACCTTGCTCATTACCTGGATCTCAGGTCACTGTGGGAGTAATTTGGCAGATTCGTGCCAGGTTCAAAGCCCCAGACTTTATTCATTATAAAGGCATATTTTCCAGTTGTTTAAGCCATTTCCTGTTCCTGCTCAGAAGTGCTTTTTTCCACACATACTGTACGTGTCATTATAATAACAGGTGTTAAAGAACACAAAGAGAAAGTCTCATAACATTGGAGAATAATGTCGTTCTTTACAGCTATTCAAATTCTCTGTGACAAAGCCCAATAAAGAGGGACTATATTTATCTGCAAAAGATCAAGTGGTAGGTGCAGAGAAAGAGACATAAGAATATGTTTTCATATTATTTCCACTCCCTCTGAGGTTGCCAAAGTTAGTAGTTCACTTGCCGACAATGGGTGTCAAACAGCACCTTTTAAATAAGACAGATTTAGACTTCTAAATAATAAGCTCATGTTGGATTTTCCAAAGAAAAATAGTAAATATAACCTTTTTGAATAGCAAGGTTGTACACTGATGAACAGCTTTTGAAAGAGTGTTGCAAACAATAGTAAACAGTTCATATAGAGCACATGTGTCAAACTCAAGGCCCGGGGGCCAAATCAGGCCCTTGGCGGATTTAATTTCGGCCCGCAGGGTAATTTCTAATTACTATTAGATCTGGCCCGCCGGTATATTGCACGCACACCTTCACTCAATCCTGAGGATTTCCTCAGCTCAGAGCCTGAGCCCAAACATTGATGAACTTGCACCCAAGATGAGATGCCAAGTATCTGGCTTGAACTAGCATCACAGAGCAGCACACTGAGTTTCAATGTTTCCTTCTGCACTTTCTTTCTTGAGACAACAGGGCATGTTTGTTTTTTCTTTGAGGGGAAATGTTTTTTTGAAGCTGTTGTTGGCCTGTGGAAAAATGTAATCATAACAAAGGACTCGGGAAAAGCTGCAGATAGAGCCATAAGAAATGAATGCAACTGATTATTTAATGTGTAATGTTGTTTTTATAGGCAATAATGTAAACTTTGTTAGTCCCAGGTTTAATATGTGCAATAAGTTAATAAACATTGAACGAGTCCGGCCCTCGACTAGTAGCCTACCGATTTTTTTATTTTGACCCACTGTGTATTTGAGTTTGACACCCCTGATATAGAGTATTGCAATTTCAGTTCTATGTTGACGTGAGGGTGGATTCACAGTAGGCTAGAGGATTTAATCTCAACAGATTATATATAGCCAATACTCCTCTCACAGTTGACAACAAAAGGGACCCACATATGGTGTGCAATAACAGCTTTTCTATACCATATGTGTGACGGCATATCGTAGTGTCTCCATGACAACTTCACATGATTTTCCAAGGCGAATCTTCCTGAAGCTGCAGTTACGAGGCTTGTGATGGCAGTCTATGCATAGAAAACAGTAGCCAGAAACAATACACCAACATGTGTGTATGCTGCAACACATACAGTACCACACCTGACTTCACAGTCTAAATGGAAATGCTCTTCTCCTGCTCGGTTTGAAATACCATCTCATCTTGGCAAGCAGTTTCCTTTTTAATCTACTTGAAAGGCAATGGCACTTGTATTCACTATTGTTTGTTGACATTGATTCCTTCAGCACAGTGGAAAAGCTGTGGTTTTAAAATACCCTTGGAGGCAGTTTGAGGTGGAAATTGCCCGCAGGTGTGCATGCATATAAAGCAGTAATGGGGACAGACGGACACAAAGCGCTGTTTGGGTGCTGGGCTCATGAAAGGGCAATCCACTGATTGAGTTGTCGCATTCACAGATGCAGTAATAAAACTAAGCAGGGCAATTACTGTAAATGGAGAACGCTAGGTAGCGGAGGGGGGCCCGCAATATGTCCTCCCCCAAAAGACCCTGATGGGAGACAAGCAGACAAAGCTAATGTAGCATTCTGTAATAAGGCTGGGGGGGAATGGGGCTTAGCGAGTGGAAACAACACCCTGACAAGCAACAGTGGATGTTAATAAAGCTTATAGGCTATCTGCAACTTCCTTGTTTATGTTACTAGCTGTCCAATTATATTGCCTTCTTTAAAAATGAATACATTCAACTAAAACAGAGGGCATATTAAAGAGCATAACTTTACATTTGGGAAAGGAAGGAAGAGCAAATGAACAAGCAGTGTCCGTAAGGATATGATATGATAATCAGTAATGTCGGTTAGAAATAATGTGCAGCTGCATTGCCATCTAGTGTACAAATATGTGAATAACAGGATGGCTTTCAGAGCATTATAAGAAACACAAACAATAGTTAACATTGCAACCCAATTTGCTTATGATTATATGCGTTTGTAAGATTGAGAAACAAATAAACAATAACATTTTGATCCGAATGTTCCTTATTACTTTATCATAAATCGGCATTTCGAGTTAAATAAAAAAGACAATTGAATCAGTTTCAAGGACAAATGTCGGAAATGAATGTTCGTGTGTAACTAATATGATAGTGTCAAGAACAAGTAGTGATTTTAAATAACCCCTGCTTGTCAGATCAGCATTGTTTTAATATAATTCAGTAAAAAAACAGCCCCAATTACATGCTGGGGTTTAAGAGAAGACCAACAATCTGAGATTTGAGAAGGGTGAGAAACAGAAAGGGGGATAAAACATGATTCTTCATTTATTAGTGATAACAAAATGTGTGACAATTAATGTTGACCCCCACCCAAACTGACATTGAGTGCATTGCCTTACTCTATTATGTCCTAATGATTTTGTGCAAGTTTATTGTGAATGTTTGCTGAGGAAGTAAATATCTAAACATTACACACAGGAGATGGGATTATTGCAGTGATGTACTATAACAAATTACATTTTTTATTTATTTGTTTTGTGTTCTTTGTCAGTAGTTTATTATGTAGACGTTATGGCAATTCATGATGTAATTCTAAAGTGTTAGGTACAGGGGAGCGACCAAATGTCCCTTTTGGGTCTCAAGCTGAAAGAGTTTGAGAACCCTTGAAATAGAGTATAATTGAGAATGAGTAATGCCATACGTTTACAGTCAATGTCATCTTTTTAGTAACAGGAAGCCAGGCTCAGAAGTGGATGAGGTAAGCATGATCACATTTATTACAATAAATCATATTAATAACAAAAGTCTGTCATCACCAAGAGAGACTCTGATGTGATGCTGTAAATGTGAAAAACAGGGTAATCATAATACATCTGAATACTGTAGAAGACAAGCTGTTCCCAGGTCTATAAAAGCCTCCGTCTGTGGGGCGATGGCTCAGAGTCCGGGGCCTCCAGCAAATATGAGCTCCAGGGCAGATTGGATGTCACCATCTGTGGCCTGCAGCACCCTCAGCATCAGATCCTCGTCCTGGATCCCCATGTCTCTGAGCTGCTGCATCTGGGACTGCCAGCGGCCCTAGCAGAACAAAAACACATTCACTGAATAAGTATTTCATCCAAAAGACCATCCAAAATCCAGAGCTGAATTTAAAGCACCAATCATTTCCATTCCTGCCTCGTTTTGCTTCAAAATATACAAATATTTTACCTAAAAAAGGACAGTAACTTAATTTAATCGATAATTCAGAGTACACTTTCTCCATTAATTGCGGCATTGAGTCTGTTCGGCCTCACCTGTAGAGCCGACATGTTGGAGGCTTGCAGAGCTTGCTGCAGCGCCTGGCTGAAGAGATCGTTACTCACTGGGGTCCCTGCTGGCATGGGGGCTACGCCACTAGAGGGGTCCGACTATAGCAAAAACAAAAATCAGATTTTGTATGTTTTCAATACATAATAATGTCCTTAAAGTTCCATATTTTAAGCTCAATACAACATCGGTTCAGTAGTAAAATGGGTAGTAAAATATGTGTGTGTAATATTTTTCTCCTTGTTATGTTACCTGGCTAGAAGTTGTTGGAGTGACCGCGCTGCTGTCAGGCGTGCTGGCGAGGGCCAAAGCTGTGGCCAGCTCGCTCTGCGTTATTGGTCGAGGGCCCGTCGCTCCGCTGTGGCTCAGAGACACTGGGCGTATTCCTGCCGAGCCTCCTGCTCTGTGTGAGGGACCCGCGGGGCTCCCCTGTTACACACACACACACACACACACAGACGTTAGCATCATCAGTTATCCTGTACATGACACGTGATGTTCAGAAAGAGGCGGAGGTACTTACGGACTGGAAGTCGTCCTCATCGTCAGACATGCCCTCAAACATGAAGCCCCCTGCCAGGTAAAAAGGATTATGTATTTGTAGTGAAAAACACAACAAAATGGATTCAAAATATCTATGCATGTTCTATTTTAAGGCACATACTATACTCTAGGTTTTATTTCATTGAGAACATTGACCTTGTGTCTCACTTCAATCTGTTGTTTAAATTTGTGTAGCTTGCCAACAACACTTCTTCATAACTGTGGGGGAAACCTCTGTAGCAATGGAGAGTCAGGACTCAGAGAGACACGAGGAGAGCTGGAGCTTTGATGGCAAACACTGACGGTTTATTTGGAGCTACGGCCGGAGAATTGACAAGACAGGTGGTGTGTCACGAGTTGACTCAGCGGTTGCCAAACCAATTCTGAAGAACTCTTTCTGTAGCTCAAGGTTTTAACTAGTTCGGAGTGTAATAATCAACATTCTTCATCAGCGAGACTAAACAAATATGGACCCTGAATCTAACTAGAGCTCTCGTCCATAGGAAAGAATGTGCGCCAGGGAACCTTCGTCCCTGAACAGTAAACTACCTCATGACGGCTTGTGCTCTGTCATAGACTGGCAACAACAATGCGCCCAAGCTGCCCCTCCTTAAGAGAGATAGCAGCAATACCCAAGGCCGTAGACCTATGCCATGGGAAAGGAGACAGTGAGAGGAGAAAATGATGAACTGTGTCCAAGTTTGAATACCTAAGCAAATTATTCCCTAACAATAACCATATTCCCTCTCTTGCTTGCCATAGGTTATGCCTGTTTTTATTGCACCCTGTCCTCGCTCACCTGGCATATCGCTGTAGGAGCTGGCGGAGACGTTGCGAGAGGAGCTGGCACTGGCCTGAGCGGGCATGCTGCCGGCCACAGAGTGCAGCACCAGGATGATGGCATTGACGAGGGCCGGGTGTGAAGAGATCAATCTATGAAACAGACAAGTATAGATGGGAATTTAAAGGACTTTCCACGTGTGTGTGTACGTGCTGTACTCACTTATTATGTGTTACATTAGAGTGAATAACAAAGAAAAGCCAAACTTACACATCCAGCATGCTGGGGTCTGTGAACTGCACAAAGAGATCTTTGTCTTGAAGCACGCCTGAGCAAATAAAAGGGCGTATTGGGAAATGTAACCATTTGCATACTTGCACAAAATAGGATGGTAATATGAATAAAACTCAGCATGTCTTACCTAAGGCAACTGGGTCTAACCTGAGCCCGGGTGTGGCCACAATGATCTGATCCAGAGACTCTTTATTTGTCAGCATTTTATAAACCTATGTGAGGGGGAAATACAGTACGTTTCATTGGTAAATATAGATCTGAAACATTTCGATACTATCTACATTTTTAGGCTTAATACACATGCAGATTTTACACAAGGTTGGACGAGTTACCCACTGATGGTGAAACATTAAAATAAAATATACAGTATAGGCAATCTACACATCCTTTGAATATAAATATACCATCCTTGACTTCAAACTACATTAGAACCATCCACAGCGTTTTATATAGATCTGTCATAGAAGTGTAGATCTATTAAGATCTGAGGGATGTGTAGTGATTTCAAAAGTTGGTGCTGACACAGCCCTATCCACATCTGTGCCATTATCCATGGATCAAAGTCAAAACAAGTTGAATCTGAACTATCCCTTTATCACTTAAGCCAACATGTTGGTATTCCAAAATGGTGCGAGTAGGTGTACACCATGGAAAGCTGCCAGGCATTAATAGCTAAACCTCTTCCTGTTGAGGATCATCTTTGACCAGCTCGTAGCTGCCGAGGGTCCGGATCACACGGGAACAAAAACGCATCCAATCAGAGGTCAACAGCTGTCAACACAGGTGTGACTGCACCCGAGGGAAAAACTAAAAATAACCCCAGCTAAATAGTTACAAGGTTAGTGTGTCCAAAAATGTGTATAGTGCCAACAACACAATGCAGTCCTGTATTCGGCAGTGAAGGATAACCTATTTAAACTTGTACTGAGTGTAAGGCATGAGAAAGCCACCAAACTCCAATGGGTACAGTGATGTCTGATAACTCAGACGTTGTATTCCAAAGAGGATGAACTCTATATTTCATGCACCCTTTTCCACATTTGGTGAAGTTAAATCTCATCAGAAGAGGTCAACCAGAGCGCATGTTTTCAAGTCTGAAAACAAATCTACACAAGGCCTTAACCTATTCCCTTCTGTTGTAAAATAAGGCGGCGATATTGTAGCAAAGGCAAAACAAATATGGAAATGAATACACGTTTTTATACATTATGCCAAAGCAATATTCTAAATATATGTATGTGGAATGGAACATAATTTAAACTCATTGGATCATAAAGGGTTGTCTCCACCATGTGCTTGTCCCTGTGTGCGTTTTCTACTCACTGAGTCTCTGTAGGCAGAGTTTAGAGAGTGTAGAGCAGCGTGAAACACCCTGAACTCCCTGGCTGCTGTTGCTCTGTTCACAGGCTCTAGAAAAGGAAAACAGTTCAGATTGACTTTCAGTTTCACTTACAGTACAGCTTAAACAACATGTATTTCAATACTTAAATGACAAAGCAGACCTGAACGGCTCTCTGACTCTGGCCAGGTCTTTTTGAGGATGTGTAAGGTGGATCCCGGTTGAATCCCGCAGGCATCCAGAGTAAGGTCGTCCTTAAGCTTCCGACCACAGTGGACGAACTCTGATATGAGACATTATCATACATTTTAAGACAAAAAAATAACAATAAGACATACATTAAAACTACACACAGAGATGCATTTAATTCAAAGTTGATGGCTTGAGGTTCAAACACCACACATGTTACACACCTATTAGTTCAGGATCTGGGAAGGAGTCAGGGATCTGTGCTGCGACAAGCTGTTTTACAGTGGCGATTCTGTATCCTCCAGGAGGAACATCCCCAGGCATCATGTCTGGGAAGTGGAAGGTGGATTTGGGCTGATCCATCATCTTCAGAGACAGGCGCCATTCTGAAGAAGTCATCGCTACCTATAACATAAACAGAAAACACACTATCAACTACGTATTTACTCCATATTTGACGAGCTGTTGTTATTGTAAGCCGGTTGTTATTTACGTTAGCTATTATAATTTCCACTATGCTATGACACGTTCGGTACCACATGCTATAGATAATAGACATCAGAAAAATGCATTATCACCTCCAGCTTAATCTTTTTGGGGGTTTTTGACATCATAAATGACGTTAGCAAACCTGCTAAACCCCTGTTAGCTTCTTAGCATTTGCTAAAAAAAGCAGACAAAAACAAGCCGGTTCGCAAATTCAATTAGTAACGTATGTCTGGTTTAAAAGAATGCCTAGCAAATGTAAAATACATTACAGACATAAACGGCATGACAACTGTAGCCGTTGTAAAATAACCGCAGACTCACCGTTTTATTGTTGACACTCGATTCACTTCCTGGATTTTAGTCACGTGGTCTACGTAACGTTTACTTGCACCGTTCAAACAAAGGATCTTTCATTTCTGTGGCTTCCTCTGTATTTTTAACATCAATCTTAAAGTGTCTCCTTTTCCTCTTTCGCACTGACACGTAACGACCTAATTGTTAGCCAGTTTAGACCACTTGCATTATAGACAATATGTCCATATAGGCTACCTATTTTGTAAAAAAATAGATACACAATAAAAAACTTTTCCTGTGCTGCGGACCAAAGGTTCCCAATTGATTTTCCTGCTGCTACACAGCTACGTATTTAACATTTTCTAAAGCTGTGTCATGTCTTGGACAAACATGTTTCCAGACAGTAATGTCTGTATGTATGTCTCATTTTAGGGCAATTTAGGTCAAGTATTATTATTATTGCAGCCACATAACTGCTCACTAACAATAGCCTAGTTGTCTTTAGCCTACCACACAACTGGCAAATGTAATTTATGAATCATATTAAATAACGTGTCTAATATATAATCAATCAAATAGATGTATTAATCCACACACAAATTAATAGGCTATACAAATGTGCACTCAAAGTTAATTATGTGAGTTTCATTCCTATGGTTTCATATAAACTGCATAGTTGGCACTGGCAGCTCAGTGATACGTTCAAGGACCATGTGATAAGTCAATGCGGTTATTATAAGATAGTCTATACAGGCTACATGTAAAAAGTAATTTCGTGTGCCCAGCGAATGAAAGCAGTTGCATATGAACCGCAAACGTGTATTTATACGATACTTGGTCTACTGCATGTGTAAAGAAAAAAACATGTGTGTTCACAAACAGTTAAGCAGGGGGTCGGAACTCTCGGACTCTCCAGACTCATTTCTCCCCTATGACATCACTGCTGGACAAAGCAGCAAGGAGTGGTTACAGTTAAGAGACGCGTCCCAAATCAATGGAAGACTCTCACTCTGAAAACACATCTTACAGCTGTTTCCACCGTCAGGAAGAACTGTTATCGGCTCAGCAACAGTTTTAGAAGTGCTTTGTGTTGTCCGAGGAAGGAACTATACTGTGGAAAAATACATCGGCTTGTGCTGGTCAGAGAAAAGAGGAGTCCCTGCCGCTGGATGGTTGGTGCTTTCCAAGTTTCGCCTTCCTAACATGGTAAGAAATTAAGTTTGATATGAGAGCATAAGCTAACAGAGACGATATCGAAGACATAACTTTGGTTATTTTCCAACACGCGCAACAGCTGGCGGGGAACCACATTAACTCGAGTTAGGGTGAGTTGTTCACAGAATTGGCTTCATTCACTGGCTCTGTGTCATATATCTGTTATTTGTTGTAGTTTTAAAAAGCAAGCCAGAGGCCCGCTAAGCTATACAGTGTACTGTTTCACAGATGCAGAGCAATAACATCTATGAACAGGACGGCGCCCCCATTTGAGAAAAAGTCAATACTGCAGCAAGGCATTTCATCTTTCTAACTTCCATAAGTCAACATAGGGACATAACAGTAACAGTTAGCTTTTTTTTTAAACATACAGTAATACATGTTAAATAAAGCCCACCAAGTGCTTTATTTGGAGTCATACCAGCTTCAATATGACGTTTGATAGTCTCCAATATATGGACCTTTTATAATAAGGAAACACTACATATTTAAAAGTACAAGTTTCCTCACTCTTTCAAAAGAGGCTTGGCCACACTGGTAGCCAACCTGAGATTTGAAACCAAATAAAGGGTCAAAACAAAATTGAGTGCTCAGTAAATATTAGCAGGATGAAACAGTTAGAAAATACACTTTTCCTACACTGAACTACTGTATGCTTTTATTCAGAAAAACTGAAAGGTTTGGGAAGCGGTGTATAGGAGATGCTGTAGTCTGGTGATGTTGCCTGGCCTCATGCTGCCCTTATCACATGGTAATGCAGCTGTGCTCTGCTGGCAGGTACAGCTTCCTGTCATGTAGGAGGATGTAGTTACTGCTCTGACTTGGCTAGGAAATGAGATATGATATAGTGAAAAGATAATTATGTTATTTGACAATGTTCGAGATGTTCTAACACATTTTTTTCCCGAGATGTGATTGCAGTTTGGCAATTCATGGTCTTTTTTCATCTCCATGTTATTGCACATATGTCAAGCTGCCATAAGATAAAGGTTATGCTAAATTGGCTCCTGCAGCTTTACAAAAGCAGGCTGCTGGAGTATCCGTCACATTGCAAACATTTTTCTTCTCTTGACAAGACACGTACCAACAGCTCTCACTGCCACGGTTGCTAATTATCATTGAGATAAAAATAGCCAGTGTAGTATTGGGCTGGGCAAAAAGGCCAACGTCTTCTCTCACAATAGAGGTTATTTCATATTTCGATAACAGTATCAAGATACATAGTAGCATCTTTTCTGGTACTTCAATAAATACATAGTCTATGTGAAAATAAAAGATGATATAGCCTATCTTTTTACTTTCAAGTGTGAATTTAAAACAACATAACAAATTAAAAGGACTGTCATTTTAAAAACACTTAATTAAACAAATTAAGAGTTTTTAATAATATTCGAAAGAAAAAATGTTTAAGCCTTCATCCTGATAAAAACATATACAAATATATATATACAATAAAAAAGCGTGTATCTTTTGATATATTTCATCATATTGCGCAGCCCAGGTCTATTATTATGTTGCTTAATGGCACTGATGCATTGCCTATAGTGTGCAAAGTAAAATGGAGTTTCAGTAGTTAAAAAGAAAGTTGGCAAGTAACTTTCATACATCCCCTGAGCCAAAAAGCTTTCTTTAAGTTTATGGAGCTCTTCTCTTTTCAGTTTGACGAGCTAATGTATCATTTGACCAATGACTTGACTACTATGGGAACATTTCCTTGCATGAAGTGAATCCAGCCATCCCTTAAGAGGGCTTGCTTAATGCTCACCACTGCTGCCATATGGATTTGAAAGGCTCGTTTTCATCCCATGATGCCCTCCAAGGGACGGGGGTTTTCCAGGTGGGAAATGTTCCTATTGTCAAGGGTTGAATGGTTCCCAATGGTTTGAGAAGCTTGGCAATGGTGCCAGCCATATGCCAATGAGACATTTGGGCCCAGAAGGTCAGTTAGATCCATTATATTAATAGTGTTTAAAAATGGTCTTGTCATCCAGAAGAGGAAAATAACAGTTGTGTCAGTAAAAAGACAAGCGGACCACTGTCACAGATTTTTCCAAAGAATACTGAGTTGGTACAATGACCATGGCAAAACAGTAAATCTTAATGTTCTGTGATACTTAAAGAATCATTTCTCTCTCGTTTGACCTCAGTAAGAAGCTTAATAATCCTTAGTGCAGTGTCAAAATGAAATACACTGGTGATTATGGCTCAAAAGCTGCCGACCAATCACTAAAAGAAAGTCAAGACATTCATACTGTCAAACATTCTTTCAGTGACCAATTCTTTTACATATTAATGATCTTCAATTTAGAGAGCACCATTATCAAAAAAGAGCCATGAATAAGTGTATAAGTGAATAAGTCATTGGGGTAATATGATGGATAACATAGCCTTTTAAAAATACAACCTTTTACAGTTAAAGTTGTATCATTATATTCTTTAGGTTGCGACTTGGGAGCGTGGTCAGCTTGTTTTGATTTCTGACAGTGAGTGGAATCGTTAAAGGTGCATCGTAAAATGACAGGAAGGAAAACACATTAAAATGCCGGCATGGGGTCCTTTAAAAACCTTGAATCATTCAGTAACAAAACTTTTGATGGCTTCCTGGTGTCTGGACAACACAGACAGTCAGACTGTGGTTTGGTGTGTTGGCATTTTGTAGTTCATTATGTCTTTAGTTGATATATTTACAGAAACCTTGTCCTTTTGGAGAGGCTGGCTGCGGTATGTGCCTGGTCTTTTCCTCATTTGATATTTATCCCCATTTTTAAACGTCTACGCATTGAATAAGCCACATTCTCTGCCTTTGAGGGCAAGTATCTTGGGAGATTCAGATGGTTTTGCAGGGATCTCTTTTGAGTTTGTTTCTGGCAGGCCTGAATGGAAAGGCCTGAAAGTTCTGATGGTCCAGAGCAAATGGTGAGTGTGCGCTGTTGGAAAGTTACGGATGAATCTGCACTTCTGCCCACATCTTCTCTGCTAAAGCCATAACTGGAACCTCATGGAAAACGCTTTGGTTCAGCCATGAGGTGGAGCCACAGCTGACAGCAATTTCGAATCATTTATAACACCAAAACATCCCGACTGATCTGTTAGCTGCCTTCTCCAATCTACAGGAACTCATATATGTCCACATATATAGAAAAACTAGGTTTGAATTAAAAATGTGAATTTGATTTAACCTGAATCTGCTCAACCGTAAGGATTCACTTTTCTTGCTTTGAAGCTTAAATTATATGTTTCCAGTATAGACAGACACAAACTACAGGTGTTGTTACTGATATCTTCTGTTTCTGTAAAACTACATGTAACACTATATGGTTTTGAATGTAGTTAACAGAAGAAACTAAAATGAATAGGTGAAAGCATCCTATGACAACAGGATGAATATGGAAAGATATACTGCCAAACAAAAGTTGGTATAACCCTTTTGTCTTGTTTGTTAACAGCCACATAACTAAATGATAGAGAGAAGAAGAAATGTAACTCCTCCAGTGTATCTGAGCATCCTCAATGTCAGTTTATACAGACCAGCAGTATTAAAAGCAGTTGCATTTCTAATGTGTGCTTTCCATCTTGAACGCCAACCCTAAAGATGAGTTATTATGGTCCTTGGTCTTGGAATGACCTTCAATCAAGCCTTAAACTGATGGCACTTGTCCCAATAGCCTGTTTTAAATTGAAGCTGTCTGAGGTCCTTACCACCAGCTGATCTTGCAGTAATAAGTAATGTACCTTTCTTACTGTCCTAATGTGCACAATGTAGTGACTGCTTTTCGTCTTTTTGTTTACTTAGTTGTGTTTTCTGTATTTTATATGTCTGTGTTATGTGTAAGAACGTTGCTGCCTTCTTGGCCAGGTCAGCATTGTAAATTAAATTTTGTCTCAATGTTTTCATCTGGTTAAATAAAGGTTAAATACAAATAAATACATTAAAAAAAGATAAGCTACTGCACATGTAGCTTTACTTAAAGGGGACCTATCATGCAAAATGCACTTTTTGATGTCTTTTATACATAAATATGTGTCCCCGGTGTGTCAGGGAACTCACGCAGCGTCAGAAAATAAAACCCTCTCTCTTTTCCTCCGTACCCAAATCTCTAAAAACGGGGGTACAACGGAGCTGATCCAGATTTGCGTCCGATATGACATAATATCGGAAATGTAGGCTGGCTTTACACCCACGGCCCTATCAGAAACGTTGCTATCAGAAACAATGCCCGACTGTTTTGGACGTAATATGGTCGGTGTTTACATTAGCATCGCTAACACTCAGAGCTAACCTGTACTGGAGAGCATGTGTGTGAAGAAGCAGGAAATAAAAAGGACTCACCTTGTGGTATAACCGGCAAGAGAGAAAGCCTTTGAGCTCCATACTGTTTCAGTGACAGTGACAGTGTGACAGTAGAGAGAGAGAGATCTTTTAAAAAATATATTGAAAGTTAGAAACGGAGATGGTTCGATAAAATGTGCAAGATAAAGTTTATGTAGCATTTCTTTATTGTCGAAATTATGACATTATATAATGGGATAAAATCAAAGTGAATGGCCTGCTGCTGCTGAATGCATCGGGCAAGTGACTGAAAAAAGTTATTACATAGTTTCAGATAATAATAATAATTAATAATGATAATTCATTCTATTTAGAGGCGCCTTTCAAAGCACCCAAAACACCTTACAATTCATAAAATATTCTAAGGAAAGGTTTAAGACAGGACAAAGAATGCAGTCCGGGGGATGTTTTTTATGTGGGGTGCAGATGAGAGGGAGCTTTCCAGAATGACACCAAGATGTCGTGTTTGAGTTGTGCTCTTGATAAGCCACTAAAACAGTAAAATACGTGTCTCCTGTTCACTAAAACATACCCATCTGTTATGGAAAAAGAAAGTATTCCAAAAGTATTCTAAAAGTAATCTGAATACGTTACTTTTTTAAGACACGTAACTGTATTCGGATTACTTTCAGAGCCATGTATTCAGTATTCAGTAACTGATTACATTTACAAAGTAACCCTCTGTCCCAACCCTGGCTATTGCCTAAAAATAGCATGATAAGTGCACTTTAAGTTTTCCCATTGTTATGTATATGATTTGAAATGTAGTGACACTCAGTGGTTGTTTTGAAAATGTCACCCTCACTGAGGAAAGCAGCCCTACACACACACACACACACACACACACACACACACACACACACACACACACACACACACACACACACACACACACACACACACACACACACACACAATCTGAAACACTGGTGCTAAGAAGAATGGGCTGAAGGCAAAACATAGTCCACACCAATTTTCACTATCAATATCTATTGCTGCTACAAACCAAAACATTTGCCATCAGAATAACTTCAAATATAAAAATATAAAAGGAGCTGTTATCAACCATGTGCTTCCTCTTTCAGCCACTAAAACGTCTCAGGGCACATACACCTGTTTCCTGTGTATTTAAAGAGGAATTTAAAGTATTGTGATACATGAGAATATGAATAACTCATGAAAAGGAAATAGAAAGGAAGCAGAACCATGTGTGTCATGCTAAGACACGTCATGTTTTGAAGTAGTGTTGTATCAGTTACCTAACCATAGTCACTGTATAACCTACACCGTACACAGTAGAAAATCAATGTATTGCTGTGTGCGGGGGCGGCAGCAAAACATTATAGCTACAGGAAAGAAAGGCCCTCCTAAAAAAATCAATATCAGTTTAAGTGTTTGCTATATTTAGAATATTACCTCCGTCAGACCGCCGTTTCCGACGGGAAACTGAAGCCACTATCAAAGCCCTACTCAATGCCACCGGTCCTCATGACAAAAACAGCAATTATACCGAGCAGAACAGGTGAGAGCGAAGATGAATACAGGCTTCAGATCCCTGTCTGACACAAAGGCCTGCCTGCTGGCAAGGTTAAATGGTGTAAATATAATAGCCTAGACTTATTTAGATTTTTGTATGTGGGCCTTATTTTTAGCTATTCACACTACATTTGTACATGTTGCTGCTGTCATCATCCACAGCAGTACATTGCTGATGGTACTCATTTCTCATGAGAACTCTTCATATTCTATTCATTTCTCTTTTTTATCTTCTTCTTTTTCTTGTATTCTACGCACTTGCAACCAATACAGTTTATAAATGTCATTGGTTTCGTTTTATTTACTATGTTTAAATACACCTTTCCAATTAGTTCAGTATTCTTTTTGCTATAGAATACACTATCTCCTGTTTCCAAACAGGTATTATCCAAAGTATTCAGCAGGGTTTAAATTGTTAAATGTTTTCATCTTACCCTCCAGGTAGATTAAGACTTAACACCACCTTAATCTAGGTGATCCATTACTTCTTTTGAATATTTATCAGTGGTCTTATTGCTCTGAGATTTACCAACAAACATATTTGCATTCATCCCAGAAGATACTGTGAGAGAACATGGACACTGGAAATGCAACAGTGAATTTGCTTTTCGATTTAGCTGTTATACTTCCAGTTTTGCCTAAAATAAAAGTACTGTTTGTGAAATGCCAAATACAAATGCAAATAGTGACCTCTACCAAACTCTCCAAGAATATTACCTCATGAATATGTTATGGGTGGTAGAGTGGAAGTAGACAGGGAGGGGATGTTTTGTCTGTATCTACTCACTCCTAAAAAAGCATTTTTCCGTCTAGAATGACTCATTTTGGAAGTCCCTATTCATCTTCACAGCTTTCTGAAAGAGAAGAGCCTTGAGCAAGCAAGAGAAACGTCTGACAGTCACATTCAGACAAAGATTTAATATATCTAACTTTTAAATACGCCTGTACTCCATAAAATATGATGGATTGTCTCAAACCCCGCCCACTTGAGAGACCACACACAGAAACAGAACACACCCCTGTCTGTTTCTGTCTATCACCAACAGATCTTTTCATTTTTCTGTACTATTGTGTGTATTCTGTGCTATTACAAGCTTCCTCCTCCTCAGATGTCTGTGTTTCTTTCCCCTTGCAGAGCTGTGTCTGAGTTGATCTGCAGTTTGAATCCACCCTGGAAGACCATGCTGTCCCTCCTGCTGACCGCGATGATGGCCCTCCAAACTATGGGTGGGTGTTTAACCCCGGTAGACCAGAGTCACCGCAGTAGAATGCCTCTGCCTGTTAAACAATACGCCCTGCAGAGCCTATTAGTCTTCCTCCTTCAAAGGCTTCACTGGGCAAAACAACAGTTTAAATGAGGCAACTCCCAATAATAATGTGCTGAAAGTTTGAAAGTTATAAATGTTTAAACTCTCATCAATCCAGAAAAGTTACCACAAAAACATTTTCTTATTTATATAGATGTTGTGCCTCAAGGAGTAAAAGACAATTTTCAGTGTTACAACCCTATGATATGGCTGTGAGTTTTTATATGTTTTTAATAATTCAGCTTGTAAAACAGAATAGCTTTGACCTTTTGCAGACAGGTGAGGAATGGAGCGTTGGGCTTGGGTGAAAAGTGCCAGAAGTGCAGTTTTTCTGCTGTGACTCAGGGAGTGTGGGGAACTCATCGTCTTATATTTATAACACTGGGAAGCAGGGCTGTGGTTGATGTTGCAACTGAGGACTCATAACTCACACACTCAAAAGTTTGACTTCAGTAGAAATGGTGCTCGAAGAAGAACTTGCGTCATCATAAAAACAAGACAAATAGCCTGTACGGGCTTGATCGCGTCTCGAGACACGGTGAATAAAAGAAAATACATTTGGCATGTCAAAAGTTGGATCAACAGTGCTTATTTTGGCACCACACGTGTCCCAATTGCTGTGTTGCTGACACATATCATAGTAGGTGATAATGTTTTATATTATTGAATAGCCTGAAGAAGAAAGAGTAAGAAAGCTGAACTTACTTTGACAAACCCACAAAGTTCACAAAGAACTTATATCATCCAAAATGCCATCATTTAAAAAGAGCTATTTTTTGCCTGTTCGGCTCTCTGGTTGAGCTGACACAACCTCCTATCGGCCATCAGTGGCACATTTCAATCTTGACTCAGTGGACCTAAGTGTCTTCAGTGGTTCATTAGGGACCTATTCTCTCCCAGCACAAATGGCCCCGCAGCCTGCTCATTACCGGCTGTGCGGCATCCAGAGCCTAACTCGCTGCTCTCACCGGGGGGGGGGGAGAGGAGGAGGTGTTGGGGACTGATGGAGCTCTTTAACTCACGGGTAATGGGCTATTGTTGCTCACACACTGATTCAGTTTCTCTCTGCTAACTGGAGCACTAAGTGAATTAGTTGGAGTCTAGTTTGATTCTATAGTCTGTAACACTGTATGATGAAACAAAAACACCATGCTTATTTCATTTAGTAACTTGAACTGTGCAAACAGCTTCCAAAGAGTTTCAGGTTCTTTCAGAGCAATAGAGACTAATACAATGTTTTGTGGTGACAACGTTTTTCTATTTGTTTTACCAGTATAGGACAACAGTAATTTTCTTGATGAATAATTAAAGGTCAATTTGGTTTTCCTTTGATTTATAACCAACCGTGTTTTGCTTCTGTGGGCACCCTAAACAAAAACCCTACAGACTTGTATAATTATAAGAGCAGCTATGTTTGAATATGTGTGTGTCTATTTGAGTCAGGGTCTCCTAGGTGTCCAGTTCCCTCGCTGGGATTACTGGCTGTAATCTTCCTTGTATTCAGCCGTGTCATTGCTCGATAACTCCTGCAAGTGCCCATATCAGCTATTACACTTTGTGGTCTCTGCCAACACACTTCCTGTCGTGAGAACAGAATTTGTAAAAGAAAAAACCACAAGGACAGTGCATGACAACACTGTCATCCCGACGCAGTAACATCGCCTCTGTAGCTCCCAGCTGTATCCTGACTCAGTAGTCAGATGATGGATCATTCTCTTTGAAACCTCTCCCTGATGTTACTCATACACAGCTGTTGTGTCACTGCAGCGGTGAAGAGGCTTGACTGTGAGGGGTTGTTGATTTTGTGCTTAAATGCACTATTAAGGAAGCAGAAGGGATACAAAAATATGCTACACCAAGCAGCTTTGACCATTGACTCTACTGGATGCTTAGGTGTATTTGTACCGCATTTATTATAACCCAAAGTGTTAATAAATGTCAGCAAAATGCATGAATCAACAATGAATATGTACAGTAATGACTGCTTCACAACAGTAGATGTGTACAGTAACATATTTGGCTCACTCCAGCACACTGTCAGCCAGTGGCAGAGCTAACAGGAGGCTGTCTAGCTAATTGCTTGTTGTTGTCATACTCTGTGTTCAGTTAGCACAGCCACCAGGCTGCCAGAGCTCCCTGTGTGCAGCTCTTAGCACCCAAAGAATGAGCGAGAATTGTATTCATGCAAATGCAAAAGAATTGAAAGCTGACCTGATTTCACTCGCAGTGATGGGAGCTGTAAGGTAATTCAAATTAATTAGCATAATTGGATAGATTGCATCTAGCATAGCAGTCGGCAGGCCCACATTATGGCAGGGCTGCAGAGCGTGAAAATAGCCCGCTCGTGCCTGCATCTCTGGTGTACTTTTTAAAGGTCTGCTAACTATGAATGCCCTCTTCCTGTCCTCCTTTTCTCTTCACAGCAATTGATTTTGCAGAGAGGGGACACTTTAGCCTGCGCTGAAATTCAATTTAGGGTTATTACCCCATATCAGTGATGTTCTTGCTAATTTGATTGCGTCAAGTGAAGTATCCTTTTAAAAACAATCGAGGACAGGCTCAACAAAGATTGGTTTCGCCGCAATGCATACATAATGACCAGTCTCTGTTGGCTTGCCTCTGTCTCACCGTTCCCCGGCTCTTCTTTTTTCTCACAGTGCGCTCATTGAAACAAAGTGCATTACCCAACAAGCACCTCATGATTATTTCAACAAGTCCTCAAAATGCTGCCTTGTGGGAATCGTTAAAAAATTGATACGGTTAATATGCCGAGATTGCAGTTCTGGAGGGGAAGAGGGGCCCAGAGCCATATGTGGGTCTGTTGTGTGCCTAGTGGGCTGTGATGAATGGGTTGAACGGATGCTGATCTGTGCTTGGAAAGCATCACAGCTACTGAGTTGCTGAGAAAGCATCACAGCAGCTGACACTGGGAGACACCCACCTCCAGAGTGAGGCTGCGGTGACGCGGTGTTTGTGATGTCAGGGCCGGGGGCTCTGTCATCGAGACATCGCACAGCTGGCGACCAACTAACCCCTGTTTAACCTTGTGTCACATCTGGTGCATGGAACGAGGCAGGATATGAACCAGTGAAAGAGCTAAACAAAATGTATAAGTTAGCATTTGGAAAACACTGTTCTCATTAGAATAAAAAAAAAATTGCTTTTCTCTGATAGTGGCTGTTATTTTTTGTATTCTTTATTTTTTAACACATACATGAACTTATTGTGTTTAATTTAAGTATTTTTATTATAGTATTATTATTATGATTTTTTTCTTAGTGTCACAACATCCTATGTCCTCTTAGATACACAAAGTATTCAAATTGTTATTTATAGTGTAAACTATGTAGCTGGCCATTATGAGAAATCAGTTGCACTCAACTCAGATCTGACCTCTTGACTCCCTGCTACCTTGTGAGACTCCCCCGCTCTGCCTCGTTTCCTCACCAGCCTCCTGCTCATCAAAGGCTCGCTGTCTCTCAGGCTCGTAAGCCAGAAGCTAGTCCTTATCAGCCCACTGTCCTTTAGCCGGCCCTATTATCTGACTGCCGGAGCCCATTAACAGCCTATTGACAGGATATGAGATGGCGCACATCTATGAAGGAAGCAAGACAGAGCGAGCAGCGATAGTGAGCAAGAAATAGAGCTAAAAAAGGGAAAATAGTGAGACCCATTTTGATTTATGACATGGCTGAAAATAAGCAAGTCAGAGTCCTTGTCTTCCCTATCTGCCATCACCTGTATCTCCCTGAGTGAGGGCACTCACACTCTATGACGAGTCCCTGCAGCAGAAATGGTAAAAGGAGAGATTATGTTCACAGCTTAATGTTGAAAGTGACCCCTGCACACCGCAGAAGGCTTTAAGTGTCACCTAATCTCATCCATATTGGGCCTCTTCAAAAGAAACGCTGCTTAATTCACTGTTTTTGAGATTGCTAATTTCCAAACAAATCATGCTTACTATGGACGCAGTCGCTTAATGTTTTCCCAATGCACACTTTTTTTTCTCCAAATGGACATCTACATCTGCTCCTGACAGCATGAAATCAAAAGCTATAGCTTCCCCTCAGACTTTTTACCGGGATTGGATATATCATAAGAATAATCGGTATGAAAGGGCTCACAGATCCTTTGAGCAAAAACCCTTTGATGTTCAGGTGTTGCAAAATGTCCAGGCTGGAAATGTGTAGAGCTGAAGTCACATTCTTCAACAGAAGGGGGCAGTGTTGTAAAAGCAGACTTCTCCTTCTCGTCTCTTTGCACGACTAAACCCTAATGCTATTGCAGTCTGTTAGTATTGCACCTGTTTACTTTGCCGTGTCAATATTGCCCCTCCAGTGCAAGTGCTTGATTTTCCTTATGTGTGAAATCCTATTGATACTTCCTCCAAATTAGTTTTCAGCAGGGTTTTAGACGTACCTTTTAAAACATGTGTACATATGGTGTTTAACAAATGACTCCACAGATTGTGTAAATAGCTCTGTTCACTCTCTGTTATTGAACATCACCATTTTGTACTTCTTGAGGAGAAGCTGTGAGGTGCCATTCTCTGTGAGGTTGTAGTGATATTGGAGGGGGTCAAGTTGGAGTGACGTTGCCCAGAATTTGATATTAAATTGCATGTTGAAATGTATGTGTGTATGTTCTCAAGATCAATATATGAACTGCATCTGAATACATCTGCATCTTAGTTGACTAAAACGCATATGATTTTTTGGACTAATCAATGAGTTGATTTAAAAGACAGATGTGTAAAACTCAGTTTCTCCAGAATGAATCATAAAAATGCACCACTTTAAAGCCTATGTTGGATGTGCTTGTTAGATTCCTGGAAAATAAGTCACTCAGCATGAAAAAGGTAAATCGACCAATCACTTTCCAATTTTTTTTATTGACTATAACAACCAATGAATTGACTAA